AAAATTGTTATGCTTGCGGTGATTTTGCCGCTGTAATTAAATTTTATTTAAGCACTGTCCCTCATCTACATTTCTATTACCTGACAATCCTTTGGTCTCCTATTACAGCAACAGTCCATTGATTGGAAAATTTGAAAAACAGCGATGTTGGTGAAACAGCAGTAGCGGTACCGTTTATTTAATAAGATGATAAACGTGGTCCGTAAAGCACCGTTGCGGCTTTTGGCAGCGATGTGGTGACACAGCAAATCGGTGAAATTATTTTACGGTACCAGTGCCGTTTATTTCCAGAAAATGATAAACGTGGTCCGTGAAGCACCGTTGCGGATTTTGGCAGCGATGTGGTTACACAGCAAACCGGTGAAATTATTTCACGGTACCAGTGCCGTTTATTTATGAAAAATGATAAACGTGGTCCGTAAAGCACCGTTGCGGATTTTTGCAGCGATGTGGTGATACAGCAAACCGGTGAAATTATTTTACGGTACCAGTGCCGTTTATTTAATAAGATGATAAACGTGGTCCGTAAAGCACCGTTGCGGATTTGGATAGCGGTATTGATGAATTTGCGATGCGGTGCCAGTACCGTTTATAATTAATAAAAAAAGAAACGTGGACCGCGTGGCAATGATAATTGTTTTTTACAAATAAAAACACTCACGATAAAAAACAGATTTAAAAAAAACACTTTAAAAAAACACTTTAAAATAGTCCCTGCTCGGGCGCCATGTTGAAACTTTAATAGTTTTTAAAGTTATTTTTTATAATTTCAAAAATTAAAAACGGGATCTATGATTTCACTATTTATGTTTTATTCAAAATTAATTTGTTAAGTTCAATTGCCACTTGCGCACTTCACCGAACCGACCGTCTTCGTCTGCCAGTAAAATAAAAAGAAAGAAACCCAAAGGCAAAAGTGCATTGCACAACCGTATTAAGAAGTAAAGGCAAGCGTTGCCATATAGTTAATTTGAGATGAGCTTTTTATCGGTTGAAGTGCGCAAGTGGTGAATAGAGATTAGTATTTAACATTAATTCAAATGAAGTTAAAATAAATAAATTAAATAAAATAAATATGTTTGTAAATGTCTTAACAACAGGGATAGACTTGTCAGATCTCTTCAACCTCACATAGAGAACTAAATGATTCAAATTTAATAATACACAGAAAGATTACCATTACTCGGTTAGTTCAGCTTCCCTCTCCCATCCAAGTTTGAAGGCACCACAATGGGCAATAGATGTCTCCGAGTGTTAGCGCTGACAGTTGCTTTAAAATTTGAGCTGTCAATATAACCTAACAACTGATACTGATAAGGCAAGATATATAGCGTAAAGAAAACCCAAATGATAAAGAGAGTTCTGGGAGTCAAAATCAGTAAAATTAACTTGATCTTCATTGGATACCTATATTGTTCTATAACTTGACTTGACTCTATAACTTAATATTTAATTACGAGAAACTGCAGAATCTTATAGAAATATCTCTCTGTTGTAACAAACTACCACTTGAAATCTTTTCTGTCGATACTTCTTCAAATGACTTATTGCTTAATCAATGGCACTATTCTAAAATATAACTTGAATGAGACTTAAGATACTCTTAAGCAGATGGATAAATTAAAGCACTTTGAAGTTATGTAATAGCACTTTTTATTAAATTATAATAGCTCAAAAGTATAAAAAGAGGAATCCGTATTTTTAAAGCTGAATTGAAATCACGTTAATACATTAAGTTATAACGATGTGGCCCATTACTCAAGGCAAAAACAATTGTGTTCCTTAATGAGATATAATGGGATTTAATGAGATTAAATTGATTAAACAAGGTTACTGCGTTGCAGACAAAAGTAGTCATTTTGTGAGAGCTTATTTGATTTAATATCAGAGATAATTAGAAGCAATCATACCACGTCAATTAAGGCAACTAAATATATGAATATATATAAATTAAATTAATTAAAATAACTATTTGTTCTATTGTCTTGAATTGCCTTCAATAACTATACTTTAACTATATTTTATATGACGAGACGAGACAAGACAAGAAATCTATTTCAAAAAGTGAAACAGGTAATAGTGAATTTGTGGACTATAACATAGTTCGGCCAAATATTGATGTATAATTCTTGGAACACTACTATCAGGAATTGAATCCTATATCCTTAAGTTACTATCTTCGTGACTTTATCGATAAGAAAAAAATTCAGATCAGTACCGCTGGATATGGTGTTATTTCAAATGATTAGTTTTCAGTTATTTATTATATTTAATATTTTAACTCCTAAGAGAAGCATAAGGCCTTTATAGTTAACATGGCGTAAAAGGCTTTAGAACTCAATTGTACAACTTGGCTTATTTTTAAGGTGACCATTTATCACAGCTAAATTACAAAATAATTTACATAATTGATTAACTACGGATCCGCTGTTCGGCCACAAAACTTTTGTATACTGACGCTGTTAGCGTAATTTTTGTAATAGTATTTAAATATCTATGATGAAGAGTTAATCTGAAGCATACTACTCGTGAGATAGTTATACAAAAGATGAAATTAATGTCAAAAAATTAATCTTTTATCATATGTTTTTCTTCGCTCCTTTGACAACCAAATTCCGAACTCTTTTTTTATCATCAAAAAATACCAAATAGATTAGTTGTATTATTTATTTGTGCTTTATATCCATTTAAAATTTGATACCTCATATACGAATACTTTTTATATACCTAAGTGGTCGGTTTAGTAAAATGATTCTGTGGACAGATTCTTATAACTATTCGGGTTCTTACCTATAGATTTTTATATAAAATTATAGATAAATTCTAAGTTCGTCTCACACAAATAATGTTAATCGAATGAAATAAAGTGCGATTGATTGGGGCTATTAGGTGACATGTGTATAGACTGCTGAGAATGAGGTCATATTTTTAAATATGAAGCTATATGAAATCTTAGATCAAAGAAGTTATTAAAAATATTAAGTGGAAAAATGTATGTAAACACCAACTTTGATTAGTAACATTAGTAAATTTATCTTGTGGAATGGTTAATTTATCTGGTAGTTTTATTAGTTAAGATTTAATTTTATATTGCACAAATCTCTGTAAATATTATATGAACTAACAAATATATATACTTTATGTTTTTAGAATTTATTTCCATATTTTTAAATGTGAGAGCAATGTGCAGAAAGAATAAAAAACGAATTGAAGTTTAACATAAAGTAGAAAGTCGTCAACTTAAGTGGATTGGTTATGTGTCAAGAAGTTGAGAATTCTCAAATGCATCCTAAAAGTAAAACCAGAAGAAATAATGCCTACTACTTGGTAAATACTAACAAAAAGTTAAAATTTCAGAGAAAATAAAATGTACAGAACCAACAAGAATGGAAGATATTCGGTGAGACTCATTTCATGCTGAAACGGGAATAAACAAGGTTTCATTAAGTGTGAGTAGAAAAAGTAGAAGTTAAGAAAAAGAAGAAGAAGAAAAAGAATTAGGAGAAGAAGAATAAAAAGAAGAAGAAGAATAATAAGTAAAAGACGAAGAAGAAGCAGAAGAAGGAGAAAAATGCATTGGCAAAGTTAAAGACAATTTTTCACTGTAATTCTTCTACTATTAACTATAGATCAAAATTTAATTTTTCGTAAAATTCATAGTAATTGCTTCCATCAACATTGGAAACTATTTGGATTACATTATTTTAAATTGAAAATATGCATAAAAATATTTGAATTCCAATTATTAGAGATAGCAAATCTTATGCATAATTTCCTGCCAACTTATCTCTGGCGTTGCAACCAAAAGTGTGGTTTAAAGTTTGAAAATATGCGCTTAAAGTGAATAAAATTTAATTCTACTAATTTCTTTCCATAAGCTCCACAGCAGTGCCACTTGTGCAATCCAAATTCTACCTTAACAAAAACAATAAATCTTTGAAATTCTAACTTACTGCCATAAACCAATGTTATTTAAGAGTTCCACTAGATAACGGATGGTGCTCCTACATTGTTACGGTACATCAAGGACACTAGCGTATCCAAGTGCATACTATACTCCGCCATAGAAAACAATGCAATGGCGAATATCTCGAATAAATTCAGTGAAATTCTCCAAACCGAAAACCAATTGAATTTGTTCCTTCGCCCGAGTTTGCATTTCGATATTTTTAGAAATTGTCTTGTGTGATTTTCGCTTGAAGGAGTTTATCACTCTACGAGTAGTAGTTCTGCGAAACGAAGAAGGAATCGTAATAATAAAGTGCATGTTGATAGTTTACCAAGTAGGAAGTTCTACTTCCGCTTCCATTTCGATTCATTGATTTTTCAAGATGCCAGCTCAATTTTTACGATGATATTTTCAATTCGGTTTTTTTTTGCTTTATTGAGTTTTGGTGCTGTTTGCAAAATGCAAATGAAAACGAAATTCTGAAAGAAAATTAAAGAAACGCAGCTCGAATTGCGTCAAGTAATGAGACAGAGTGCATATCCTTATTCATTGTGGAGGAGTTTTCCATTGAATGGGAATTCGTCTGTGTGCTGCATAAAAATGTGCAGAAAAGAAAGAAAATGAGGCTTTAACTTTTCAAATATATATTGCAAAAGTTTATTGACATTTTTCATTGCAGCTTAATACAAAAGTAATAGATAAGTTAAGTGGATTCACTCATTTGCCTAAGTCATAGCCCTTAACTTATAGTCCTCAACTGTTGGGTTCCTATTATATTGAACTGAAGCTTAATTTAAGAAAAAAAGCATGAATAAATATGTTTTAATTGACGATTGAAATGATAGCGAAAGACTAGTAGTCCCATTAAAGTACAGATTTACCCAACAATAACGGAATTCTTAATACTGAAAACATTGTACCATAAAAAAAAATTTCACCACATAAAGAATTATTCATTCTGGAAAAAATATTCTTTTGAATTGCAACCAAACAGTTTTCAATTCCAACACAAAGTAAGAATTAAAATTTTTAAGTGAAAAAAATTACATACCTGAACGTGCGCCACTATCACACGAATTAAGCCGCTGACTAATGGTCGTATCAAAACTGCGAAATCTCGACATACCCATGCTGGGTGGCGGTCCTTGATTGCCAACAATAACAGCACCACTGCTACCGACGCGATTAAATTGTGATTTACGGGAACGTCCTAAAATATTCTGACTTTTCGAACGTTCAAAGGAGCGTTCATGTCGTGTGCGCGGTGAATACTTAACACTTGTGCTGGCTACGCTGTATGCAGGTGGCGCTTCTTTAATAGATGCATTTAGGTAGGCTGTCGTTTGGGGTTGCTGGTATTTGGGTGAACTATCGCGACTGCGTAAGCTACCGCTACTGCCACCACCAGAATCTTTTTTCGTTAGATAGTTTGGAGAATTGCCAGTCAGTGTGCTAAAGTTGGGAGAGCGATCCCGCTGTTGTATTGGACGCTCCGAGAGATTACCATCAAAGCTACGTGAAAAAGTCTCCACATATGTATCTGTTGGTGTAGGTCGACGTGTATCATACTCAAAGCTACGTGAAAATACCATACCCTTGCCGCCATTATTCATGCCGACATGTAGACTAGTGTTTGGTAATGATTGTTGTTGTTGTGGCTTAAGTTGTGGTTGTCGTGTAGAGACTGTTTTTCGTCTATCAAAATGTTTCGTTTTGCTGCTATCTTGAAAAGCAGGTGGAGGTGAGAGTATAGGCGTTATGGGAGGTGGTGATTCGGCATCATTTAAATTTCTAACTGGTAAGAAACCCGGACGCTCATTTAATAAACTTGCTAATTGTGGATCTACAATTCGATACCCGGGTCTTAAAGTCGGATCACGTGACGCATTACTGAGGCGTGCCTCATTACGTTGTATCAGTTCTTCTACTTTGCTGCCCATATACTTGTTACCCATATACACACTGGGATCGGCTAGTGAATGTTGATGTTGTAGTAGTGCTTGACGTGCCATATCCGAACGTCTTGTATTGTCTATTTGTATAACGCGTATAGTGTTGCGTTGCATATCACCGTTTTGATGTGCATAATTAGCGCGACGATAACCCCGATTTTCGTCATTACCACGTTTCGTATTAACTTGTACCCAACCGGATTTATTAAGAAATATTTCTTCTTTCGAAGTTGGCGCGACAGTTTTACGCGAACCCGTCGATAAACCGCCATAATAGTGCTCGCCAAATAGATAGGTAGGCATATGCATACCACTTGCATTGCCAGCATTTGTGCCTGCTGTACCACCACCACCGCCGCCCCCCATATGATAGTGCATTCTACGTGCTTCCAGTTTTTCGTTAAAGCTGCGTGTGGATGCCTCCAAACTTTCGCGACGCTTGGCAACGTATTGTTGAAATGCGGATAAATGTGGTATAGTCTCGTTACTGCTTACATTTGCCGCTAAGTTGGTTTGCTGATCCGATTGTGCATCGAACTCATGTCGTCGACTATGGTATTTGGAAGGACTTGCACGCAAGCGACTGCGTCGCTTTTTCGGTGGTAATGCTGGTAATGGTAAGGTGCTTACATCGATTTTATCATGCGTTGAAGATGATAATTCGTCGTTTTGTGATTCTCGCGTAATTGAATCTCGAGTCAAATGGCTATCATCCGATTGTGCTTCACTTGAATCGAGACAGGAGTAATCCTGTCGCTGTAGAATTGGTCGTTTTGTTTGACTGTCGTGCGATTGTGTGTGCAAAAGTTGAGTTGTGGTTATTGTAGGCAAAGTGCTTACGGTACTGTAAATAGAAAAAGTATTTTACTTTATTAATGAAAATCTTAATTTTATTTTGCAACAAATGAATTGTACTTAAAACAGTCTACAATATGCAAATATAGTTTTGAATATATTAATTCATAGATTAGTTATAAGCTTTATTAAATGAATGATGATGCTATGTATAGTATACTTTATGTTTGTCTTTTAAGTCCTGTTTTGCTAAATCCTTAAAGGAAATTTAAGTTATAATTAAAGCAAATTATACATGTAGAAAAATGATTCATATCGACATTTATAAATTCTTAACAAAAGAACTGTTGGGAAGCAACTAGCAGGTGCGACTCTTACGCGTCATTCACAAGATAGTTCTCTTATCTTATCTTACCTTCTATACTAAGGTCATTCGTGTCGATGAGTACCTTCTCACACTCGCTCGACGGTATCTCATCCGGCAGCATTAGTCTTTCTGCCAAACAGAGCATAAAAAACGCAGTAAATAGTGAATAGACGATATTAAAAATATCAGTTCTAGTCAAAAAAAAGATATTGTACTAAGTGAAAGAATAGTCCTAGATACCTAACTAGAAGGTCTGACATAAATGTAATATGATGGATTAAAAATATTTATTTGAAACTATTATTCCTTAATGGACTGTTGCTGAAGAAAAAATAAAATTGAAACCAAAAATATCCCCAGCTAAAATATTTGATAATTTTCAGTAAAGTAAACATTAATTTCCGTTAGGTTACATATGAAGATGAATCTGCAAATAGTTTCATTATGCCGAATAGGACTTTTCTTGTCAGTTGTCAGCCAGTATAGTAATTTAATGTTCTACACATTGAGGATCACTCTAATTTCGAATCTAACAGTTCTTTAGTTATGGTGGCAGAACATCAGCTACTCTACCGCTTTCTAATATTAATAATGATTTCTCATATCACATTCTTAGCAACGGACCTCCAGAAAATTCCAGAAATATTTTGTTGTTAATGATGACAAACTGATAGACTGTCACGACTGAACTTTCCTTAAATTTTTTTTATTAGTCAAAGTTGGACAAAGTCACAAAGAAAATGTGTGAATGTTTCATCGTCGTCTAAGTTTTCTTTCTTTTCTATAAAAAGTGTGGAACAGATAGCGCACATTCTCTGCGTATGATTGTATACACTAATGACTTGAAAGAGCTAGGACGTAGGAGTATTAACATGATCCCAGTTATATCGTACCTTTTGTCTTTTGTACAAAAACCTAATCAACTGATAAAAGAATTAATTTAAGCTACTTATCTTTTTGAGAATTTTATGGGTGACTCTTGTATTAATTTCTGATATTTTTTGATACCCAAGACGAAATTTTCCTTTTACTTTAGCATCAGTAATAGATGTCCAGCTAACAATCGCTGTTTATCTGTATAATAAGTGAGAACATAATAATCCATCCCCTCTTTCTTCGCATAGGTTACATGAGTCGTTGGTCACTGTGCTCACTTGGTCGTGGCCAACAAGAAAATATCACAGGATACAATTTCAAAAATGTGTGTCCTGCACAAGTTAATAATAAGTGAGGACTTCATAATCCTTGCTCTTCCTCTTCGCATAGGTTATAAAAGCCGTTGGTTTCTGTAGCGACCAACTAGATTGTTAGGCAATAAAAAAGTTTCACTATTATGGGTCCTGCTCCGATTAATTAGTTTTCAAATTTTACAGGGATTAGCAAAATTTCTGAGTTATGGAATTTTGACGCTAACAATTTTAATTTTTGCGCTAATGTTCTAATTTTGCCGAATAATTTGTGCTTTTTGAGGAGAGAACATACGTATACTCTATTATATATGGTAGATACTCTATTATATAGATTATACTCATATAGTTTATAGCTCTATCGGTGCACACTATTAATTTCTTATCACTTTGAACCGAAAGTAGGCATCGCATGTGTGGTGAATATATATGTTGAATCTTCAAAAATAATTATTTAAAGCGCTTTCGCATATCTAATAAATTTAATTGTCACTTTAGTTGCACATTATAATAAAATATTAATTAAACTCTAATTAAAATGTTTTATTGTTGTTCGAGTTGCGGTCTTGACATATTTTTACAAGAAAATAAAACCAAAACAGTTCTTTTGAAACAAATGATGAGGGCACATTAATTTTATTGCTATTAGGGGACATTAATAAATTATCACAACCCCACAATTCCGTAGTTTTTTAAGTAATAAAAAATACAAGCCGAAAAAAAACAGTCTGTCTCCATATGCACAAAATCTTCATTCTCCGCATGTTAATGTCTGTACAGAATACACGAGCATATATCTGTGCTTAGAACCATTCCCATTAACATGTAATACGCATTTGTGGACTAAAGAATGGAGCGTTCTGTTCTGTCATCTTGGAATGTTTTTGAAGTGACCAATTCAAATTGTTGCCATTTTCTGCCATTTTATGCCAGAGGCAAGCCATTTTATGCTTGTAAGAGTATTTCATTGAGAATTTGTGTGCGAAACTCACCATATAAGGATATAAGGATATATGCGTGTATGCGTTTGTATGTATGTTCGTTGGCATTGTTGGCTGTGTTGGCACTTTCGTTTATGTGTTAATAACAATTACGTACGTATCAGTCGTTATGGAGCATGTAAACTCATTACAAAACTGCTCAAAAACATTCAACAACAAAATAAAACAGCAATTTGTAAGGATAACGATACAAGTGAACTTTTACTTGTAGTGCCCGCAGTGTCCTTAATTGTAATTTATAGTTAAACTTTTAACATTTATAAACTCATATTAAGTGTCTTGATTAAATTAAAATATTTCATAATTAAATTTTTTGTTTCTTGAAGGAAAATATAAGAAATATTGCGACATATATTGAAATTAAAGAATATAAGACGGAATAAAATTTTTAAATAATTTATATGGTTACAGGCTCCTCGGGGAGGTATACAGATCTGAGGTCAATTATTGCTTAGTGTGATGAAGTGATAAACAATAATCTAGTCAAGGCGCAAAGAGGGGTTTTGAAGAAACCTCGCAGTTAATACAGAGTAAAAGTGTTCAGGTGCACTGACTCAACTAGCCTCAACATAATAATATATTTAATATTGTCATATTGTGAATATTATATGCAAATACTAATATTTAAATATAATTGATATTCTAATGGACCTATTCTGTGTACTTTATAAACTTGTCAAACATTGACACTTGTCAAAATTGACTGCTGTAAAGGTTTTGGTATTCTGTGACATAAATAAAAAGCTCTTTTCCTTGTTAGTTGTCAATATGGTACTATAAATGCTGTTGACAACTATTAAAATATGCTCTTTTAAAGCATTTTTTATTTTTCGCATGCATGACAAATATTCTTAACTAAAATATACGCTCTTTACAAGCATATTTTTTATTGTTATTTGAATGCATGAAAAATGCTTTTGGCAACTTAAAATATGTGCTCTTTACAAGCATTTTTTACGAACAGTTACGAACAGTTACGAACAATTACGAATAGTTTTCTATACAAAACACTTTACACCATAGTGTGGTGAGAAGCACTAGGTACTTGAGCTTTAAAATTTGTCAAGATGTGTCCAGAATACCAAAAAGCTTTCTGCTTTATAAAAATCAAAAATTTTATTAAAGAATTTGACAAATCTGTCAAGTGCACAGAATAGGTCCGTAAATGTAACTTCTTTTACCAAGTTTGCTAAAAAGTTATGAAAAGGAGTGACAAGAGCACACATCCTTATCTGATATCACTAATCCTTAAACTCTGAGAGCGTCATTATACAAAACTTTACGCGGAATATATAGTTCACGCTTTTATGAATTATGATATATTAAATTTTATTGTGGAGTAGCAACACTAAAAAACGCCAGAATAATCATTGTAAAATAATGTTTGGTATAAAAGTCACACCATCTCTTGGGATATCCAAAAAATATATTACACATTCAATACTTGTGATTTGATATAAAAATTCTTCCAAACTAACTTCTTTTACTAATTTTACCAATTACTTGCTGCTCAGTTACGAAAAGGAGTGATACATCCTTGTGTGATATTTCTAGTTCTCAAAAACTAAGAATAGCATTATGCAACTGAGCATTTTTAATGATTTTATTTTAATCCATACATTTAAGATAAAGAAATCTGTTGCTGATCCATTTATAGCAATTAGAGAGAATGAGTACCATCATTTTGAAATTCATATCCCAAAAGCAGTAAATACTGTTCTCTAAATGATTCATTTCCTTGAGATTATACAACAGCCTGACGACACCCTCTCAGATAACCGCTAAATATTTTGTAAGAAGCTTGTTCAAGCCTGTTGTGAATGGCTTGATTGAACTTTGCAGTTTCTCTTAGACCCTTATAGTTTGGTTTTTACATATGTGGTTTACATATGGATTTTTTAGGTTTTTGTTATATTTTTTTATGATGGATTTGTATGTATAGTATACACATATATTAATATTAATGTGTGTTAAGAAAAAATTTAGGTGTTAAATTTATTTAATGTATTGAAAAGTTTTTTCACTATTTGGAAAATAAAAAATTTTGAATTTCTACAAAAAATTATAAATTATATATATTTGTCAGTTAAACCATATATACTTGTATATAAATAAAGAAATATGTATCACAAATATATTCTATTTTTATATGTTTTATACGGTATAATTATATTTTTTTTGTATAAAAAATAATATTAAATTGAATTTTAATATTCGCTTTGACGAAAAAAACTAAATTCTTAATAAAAAACTGTTGTTTTCATTAGAGAGATATCACGAATAAAATTTTATTTTTTAATTAATTGTATTGTTACGAGTTTCGAGTATTGCCAAATCATAAGTGCTCTTGGAATTATTTCGGATGTAATTATTCTTAAATAATTTTTTGCGACTGAAAGTACTGAGGATAGAACTCGTGCCCTGCTAAATTTAAAGCTAAGAGTCCGTGTTCATTAGCCAACTGACCCAAATCCGTACTTGATTTTCATGTTTG